TTCCTTTTGGTGATTAATTAGTTTTAAAGCATTATGATCCACATACTAGTTTTTGTATAGACAAAAAATCACTTCATTTTATGTGCTGAAGTCGACTTTAATTCTGCAAGATATTCCTCAGTCAAAAAATCATGTGACGAAACATTGCTATTTTGTCTTTCAAAGCGATTTCTACCTAGTAGAAAAGTAGAAAAGAATCATCTCTTGATTTTGGTTCCATCTTTCGAAAGCACCCTGTACGCCTTCTTCTCTACATCATCCATGACACTCAATAGAACTTCTGATACGGTCCACCCTTGATCGGACTGTTGACCGTCTCCATGATTATTAATAGAAATTATAACATATATAGAGCTGATATTCCAAAATAAAAACAAACCCATAAATAGATTTCACTATTTGAACGGCTATTGGAAGTGATAAACATAAAAGTCGGGACTTGCGACAGCTGGTACGACGTATCCGATAAGGATAAAATTGTCACTTATTGTTAGATTATTTCAAGAACTGTGAATGTAAAGTTTATCTCGGCAGATAAAGATTTTCACTACGTAAAATTGTGTCATCATTCATCATTCATTTTTCAATACATCGGATATTATGACTATCAGGTTGACAGCGTTTGATTGGTATGGCGCATGTAGGATAGATTCGTGACGTGGGAATATCATGCAGCAAAAAATAACCTTTGAGCAAATAATTATCAAACGTTAGTTGTTCTATACAGGGTGTTTCAGTTTATTGTTGCATAACTTTAAGATTCGATAGAACTTTTAAAATTAATGCATAAAGTCTATATAAACATGCGTCGAAAAATGCGTGGCTTCCGAAATACGGGGTGTTTAAACTGATTCTTCGCACTTTTCAACATAAAAAAGCTCTCTTGTGAATTTTCGTTATAGTTAGCCGTTTTTGAGATATTTCGATTTTTGATTATTTATGATAAAATAACGTTAAAAAGTCAGTATCTCGATAATTTTTAGAAGTAGGCTGTGCCTGCAAATATTTTTGAAATTGAAAGCGGAGTAAGGTTAAACGTCAATTGGTTGACAGTTAGTTTTGTTGTCTGTTGAAACCTGAAACGTTTTTTGGCAATTGTGAATGCACGAAATTTAGTTTCTTTTACCTGTTTTTTTTGTAAGTTTTATAAAAATGTCATTTTTATTCTCCAATCAAGAGTTAGCGGATATTCATTTTGTGTATGGCTTTGTAAATGGAAACGCAGCAGAAGCAGCCAGCGAATACGCACAAAGATGTCCAAACAGACGACATCCAACTCGCTCAGTATTTGTAAGAGTGCATCGCCAAATAATTGAAAATGGTTTTGGAAATCTCCAAAGGGCTCAAAACATAAATGTTCGTCAGCGCAGATTTACCCGTATGATTCTGCGTGAGTTTGATAGAAATCCGACCACGAGTGTTAGGAGAGTTTCTGGAGCTTTGGGAATTTCAGCAAGCCATGTTTACCGTGTTCTTAGAAATGGCCATAGACGTCCTTACCATTTGCAACCTGTGCAAGGGCTATAGCCAGGGGACGGAGAACGAAGAATCGCGTTTTCTCAGTGGATTCTTGATAGAACTGATAATAATAGGGAGTTTTTAAGTAACGGTTTAGGGACCGATGAGTCATGCTTCACTAGACGTGAAGTGGTAAATTTTCATAATCAACATAATTGGTCGCATGAAAATCCGCATGCAGTTCGGGAAAGAAATTTTCAGCATGAATTTAGTGTGAACGTGTGGGTTGGTATCTACCGTAATCGACTATTTGGACCCTACCTTTAGCCTGCAAGGTTAAATGCTGCGACATTCTTGGAATTTTTAAAGGGTGAACATGCAAATATGTGGGATGATGTTATGTTAGATTTAAGAAGATTGGCCTGGTTCCAGCTTGATGGTTGTCCAGCTCATTATTCGAGAATAGTTAGAAACTGGCTGGACGAAAATTATCCAGAAAGATGGATCGGCCGTGGAGGACCAGTAGAATGGCCTCCACGATACCCTGACCTAAATCCATTGGATTTCTTTGTGTGGGAATTTCTAAAAGAAAAAGTGTACCAGACTCCCGTAACCACAAGAGATATGCTAATAGATAGAATCAGGAATGCATGTGATGAAATAAGGCCTTATTTGAATAATGCCACGTTCGATCATTCGTAGATATGAATTGTGTATTGAACAATTGGGTTTACATTTCGAGCAACTACTTTAGATTTTGTATGTTTGTCCTAACTATCCAATAGCATTTTAGTTGTAAATAATTAATTTAATTGGTTAAAAATAATATTGGAAAATTAAACAAATTAATATTCTTTTTTGTGTTTATTTGGAGGTAGGAATTATTACTGTGTTTAAAAACACAATCTAAACGATCATCTTAATTACTTGTAATGCCCAAATCGAAAATGTAAAAAAAAGATATTATTTTCCCATAAATAATTAAAAATGCATCGAACCCTAAAAATCGAAATATCTCAAAAACGGCTAACCATAACTCACAAGAGAGCTTTTTTATGTTGAAAAGTGCGGAGAATCAGTTTTTTTATTCAAAAAGCAAAAAATTCCACTAAGAAAAAAATATCGGTCATTTTAATACACTACAGGTACAGTAGAGAGCGCCCTCTAGCGGCTACAGTAAAACTATGCCCATGGTTCGTTTTGTCGTACCAAAAAACCCTTGTATACCAATTTTCACTTTTATACGTCAAATATTGTTCGAAATATTTAAAAAAAGCTATTTTAAAAGGTAAATTTAAACACCCTGTATTTTGGAAGCCACGCATTTTTCGACCCATGTTTATATAGACTTTATGCATTAATTTTAAAAGTTCTATCGAATCTTAAAGTTATGCAACAATAAACTGAAACACCCTTCATGGACTTGAAAAAGCTGATTCGGTTCAGGTTTTTAAAAATCTACAGTACATATAAGCTGCGTGAAAACACTTTACGAAAATAACAACAGTAAAATACAAATTTGTAGATGTCTGTCAAAAGAAATATCAGTGAACAAGGGTCTGCAACAAAGTTGTTGCTTTCCCTCGCACTCTTCAAAATATACATTGATGAGTATCTGAAAAACTTGACTAAACGTACGACCAAGTGATAATAGCAGACGATGAAGAGGATGATTAGAAGTAAATATGGATAAGCCCAAGTACATGGTAGTAGGAGCAGAGATGCAGGATTCATCTATACTGACAACATCAAATGCACAGCACAATATAAAAAACTTGGGAGATACACTAACAGCAAATGGAAAAAATAAGGAAAAGGGACGCAGAAAACAAATGTAACACAGTTGGACTAGCTAAAACGTTGTCAATATCCTTTTAAGAAATACAAATAAATTACAAAGAGTTGTCATCGATATGAACACTTCTCCTGAGGCTCTAATATCATCGGCAATACCTCAAGGGTCACTTCTTGGACTACTTCTTTTTATTTTATATATCCCAGATTTTGTTAAGGTTGTTAAACACTGCAATATTCAGTTTTTTGTGGATGACTCGCAGTTCAATAATTTTAAGACTAACAATGTAATAATTGCTGGCAAGGCAAAACATCTATCAGACAGTTGTGGATTAAAGGTATTTCAAAGAAAACAAAGCACCACATATAAACCACTTGTTGAGGTACAATTACGCATGGATCGGAAGTATGGACTCTCACGAGAAAAAGGGACGCAGAAAACAAATGCAACACAGATGGACTAGATAAAACGCTGTCAATATCTTTTTAAGAAATACAAATAAATTACAAAGAGTTGTCATCGATATGAACACTTTTCCTGGGGCTCTAATATCATCGGCAATACCTCAAGGGTCACTTCATGGACTAATTCTTTTTATTTCATATATCCCCGATCTAGTTAAGGTTGTTAAACTCTGCAATATTCAGTTTTTTGTGGATGACTCGCAGTTCAATAATTTCAAGGCTAACAATGTAATAATTGCTGAGGCTCAAATTAATGAAGATTTTAGGTCTATCGGTAAGTACGCATAAATTAATATTCGTAGATTAAATCCAGAAAAATCAAAAGCAATTATATTTTCTCCTAAACAATTCAGAAAGTATTCGACTATATCATTACCTGGTGAAATTATAAAACTCTGAGGAACTGTAAGAAATCTAGGGATACCTCTTGATAAATGTCTAAATTTTATTCATGTGAACAATGTTACAAAAAGTTGTTTTTTAGTACTTCGGTAATTATACATGAATGAACAGATTATCCATTACAAAAGTAAAAAAAATTATCTGTAGTCATCAATTATTTCAAAAATTACATATTGCAACTTTATTTGTCATCTGATTTTAGATCCACAATTTTACTAAATATTTTACTTATAATGCTACTATCATGTACAATGCTTTATCCCTCTGATACTAACGCTTTAAATTTCGAGAATTTTAGAAAGTATTTAAAAAATATCATTTTCAAACAATCATTAACATAAATTAATCTCTCATGTCTGCTTATATGCATTAAGATCATTTTATAAGTATGTATAATGTTATACTTTTCCCTTTTATTCAATTTCTTATTTTACCCAATCAACTCGCTTTTGTGTTGAAACCTCTAAAATTTTAGTGGTATATATTGTTTTTATTGTTTATTTTGTGGCTAGACATTTTACGGGTTAAGTATCACCCAATAAATACGTTTTATTATCATTGTATTAGACAGAATATTGAACGAGGGAATGCGATGGAGAATGGCAGTAGAAACCTCACTAGTATGCGAGAAATGGCACAAGACAGGTCCCCACCAATAGTTAGGGAGTAATGGCGAAGTTTTATAAATTTCAGTATTTCCGGACAAATGATGAAACAACTAAACAAATGATCATCAGAACCCTACGGTAAGTTATCTCAGTCTCCTCATTTTAAAAAGCACGGGATGTTTCAAAAAGAATCACATGTTCCTTGTGGCACAGAGCTATGCAATACCCTATGAACGTCTACTTAATTTGGAAGTACGCAGATGTAGATCTTACCGCTTATTTTTGAGCTCCTAGTTAATATAATGGGTTGAACTATCGATCCCTTACCATCGATCACTTAGTCTGCAGCCCTTCGAACTGCCTTGTTATTCTGAGTGTACTTTTCGGGGGCATATGAATATTATGGTAGCTTATTAAAAGCACAATCAAATCAAGAGACGATACTAAGGTTAACAGGAAAGTCAAATAACCAACAACAGCTGATTGCTTGGTATTCGTTGAGACACGTAGAATATACTGATTAACGTCCCATAAAAATAGACGTCAAGTGTTAGAACTCAGTCATTGCACGTAGCAAAGGCACGTAGGGTCACCACACTCATCTTCATATTTCATACCGGGTCTCGACCCAAGTCTCATAGAATTTTTATTACTAAGAAAAACTAATATAAGGTTATACTCTGGATAGGGGACAGTTGCTCAAACAGCCGAACTAGGCCGGACGAACGAAAAATGTATTACTAGTTTGTTTAATAGCGAATAGACCGTATCTACTACAAGACCAAGATCGGCGGCATCTAGTGGCCACAGTAGAGACCTGGCTGACAATGCGAACTGGGATACATACGGCTTGCTGTTCTCATTTCCGCAGTGATCAATTCTGGTAACAATGGCACATTGTGCTGTCTTATTTCGATAAACCACAAAATATGTTTCAAATTTTTCTTCTAATTCTTCTAGCAGTGATAAACTTTGGATAAAACGCGCTACCACCTTCCTACTGATAAAGTAGCTAGAAGTAGCTCATTTCAGATTATTATTTTTTTATCTCACTCCTCACTGTCTACCTACAGAGCGAAAAAACTTGAGTCACTGGCAATAAATGAAAACAACGATTTGAAATCCTGTACCTTGAAAAACATGTACATTATTCATGATGAGTTTTGAACCTTGCCGTTGACTCGGGAAACTACGTTCAGAACGTGGGTACAAGCAATGCACAAGTGGAATCTGGATTATCAATACCTGGACTACTACTTAGAGAATGTGGAAAACACTCAAACGATGCGAGTGTTCTGGATTCAACTATATTTTTTTCTCGTTTCAAAATGTGCACCGGGCGGGAAGCATAAGCATCTATTTTGCGTATTATTTATAAAGGATAAATTGATCTTGAATTAAATAATACCATATTACGTTTGGCTAAGTGTATTAGAACAAAAAAAGTCCAGGTATCTGTATTTTTGAGATTGATATGCTGGCGTACAATGTATAAGGGTTAATTCTAAAAAGAAAAGTTCACAGAATCAAAAGTTTGGTAATGATTCATTTTCAAGCTTCATGCTGTCAAACCTTTATTGAAATTTAGTTTTTGTCCAGACAAATTGCAATAATCCTCTTGCAGATTTTGCTACAATTCGTTAAAATTTAGTAGGCAGGAGATTAACTGGGTGAACTAAGAAAAACGCTTTATTGAAGTCACAGATGGTCCAGGACATACAAATCGCCGGATGCAATCCCACAAAATTGTTTATAGTTTGGACTTTACCAGCTATTTTTCTTATTTAAATCAATTCAAATTTCCGACGTTTCGTCTGTGTACTCGAAAGCTCAACAAATTTCAACAGAATTGGCTAACGCGCTATTGATATATTGTTATTTAAAAAAATGAAATAAAATACACAGCCAGCTATGAACAGCTGTTTCTTGCTTTTTGGATATGCCAGCAGGGTCTAGGTCTGGGTCTCTCGGACAACGAGCGAAAATACTATCAAAAGTATGGAGTCTACCAATTACATTCTTACCATCAAGAAACAGGAATTATTTAAAGGTGCCAAAACCAGAAAAAAATATAATGCTCAGATCGTATTCTTACCTAGGACCAAGATGTTAAAATCTTCTTCCACAAGACCTGAGGATGATTTTTTTATACCCCAACTACCACGAAGGCCTAAGGCCTAAACACCCATTGGGTACCGTGGGGCTATGGGGGATACAGGGGAAAGGGGGACGCCACACGGACTCTGGCGAGGGAACACGTGTGCATGCAACATGCACACATTCTGGCTCCGCCTACGAGATCCGCCGGGTGGTACCTCCGCGTTCGACAGTCAGAGACCGTCTACTACCTACGGACAATCACAACATCCATAGCCTAGAGCAAAATTTCTCCTTGGACGAGACTCGAACCCGCACAGCGCACGGCGACTGATGAGGAGACCGAAGACTCTACTACTGCGGCCACCGCTGCTGCCTGATACGTTCCAAACACACGTTTAAATTGAAAGTAAAATTCTGGATAACATCTATGCCCAAACAGAGAATTCACGAAATCGTTGTCTTAACAAGATTACACTTAACATGGAAACCAATTACTAGAATAAAGTTACCGGATTAGACAAAATACCCTATACCCAACACTACCGATTTAGACAATACACCCCTGCTATACTTATTTACCGATTTTGACAACCTACTATATATATCCTCCAAACAGAGAACAGAAAACAAAAACACTAATAACCTAAGATAGACTGTGTGCCCTAAATGAAACATTTCGCCTTAAAAAGGATCTATAATTAAATGAAGCCATCCATACTCCCACTTTGTCAGTTAATGTATTTTAAAATCCTATTTAATGTTGTTATTGTTCTTTTCTTAGACAATCACGTGTGTCTTTTTATTCCTAGTTTAAGTAGTACGTAACTATTCATAAGCTAGTGCATACCCGCGTACAAGGCTAGCCTTCTGCGGGTTTTCTACCATGTTTATTGTTCTAAAATATTTATTTCTAGTTATCTGCTAATAGTTTGTAGAATAAACATTATTATTATTATTATTATTATTATTACCGCCAGAATCGACCGCTGCGAAACATTAAATTGCTGCCTAATAGTTGGGACTGTATATTCTTTATTCTTTATTCATATCCACCTGATACAAACTTGCATATGTGGTAAAAAAATTAATACAAAACAATAAAGGTTAATAAAAATGTTACAATTCATATGGGTGGACGAATAAGTATTGATTCCATCTTTATGTACTCAAGTTCAAGTTCGCACATTCCAAGTACTCTGGTACATTGTTAAATGAATTTTCACAACAGTAATTTCTTACCTTCTTTGTTGAATAAGTTGTTGAATTTTAACGGTAATTTGTTGAATAACGCAGCTGTAATATGAGGAACTTTTGAAATAGGTGGTAGTGTTTTTGATCTATTTTCAAATTTTGATTTTTTGTTTTACTCGTGATAAGCGTTGACATTTAGAAATATACTATTATACTTCTCAACATAGGTTACGCGTTTCAAAATATGTAATACACATTAAGAATTTCGCTTGACATATGCATTTCTCTGCGGGAGTCAAATGACTTCTTTCCAAAAATTAATCTTATCAATCTTTTTGGGACCCTTCATTCCAAAAATTAATTTTAGGAATCATCTTTAGGCCGCAAATAGTCTCTCAATTTCACAGATCCCAGTCCGAGAAATTGGAGGACCAGTCAACAAGTGACCGCTAGAGGGCGACAATTCTAGTTGTGTAGTGAAAGTGGTCTGCTTGCCATTGAACGAAATAAAATAAACATGGTCTGCTTTCGTTCGTCTGATCAAACATAGCCTGTTCAAGTAGGTGTTGAAAAATGCTTTAGACACAAATCATTATCGCACCTGCGCTTATATAGTCTTTTAATTTTAGAAAGAATCACCTCTTAAAGTTCGACCAGAATCTTTCTTATAATCCTATGTTTGAGTACGAGTTGTATTCTTGGGATGGGTGCAGTCGGTCAATGTGCACAAATTGTTGATTTAACTTATCTGTTTTCTTTTATTATGATTCGTTAACAAATAGCTCAATGACCATTATGATCTGATTTTTACAGATACATCATATTAGGATGAATCACTGAGTCTATCTGACTTCATTTTTACAACGTGTGGTGAAAGATACAGTTTCATGTTGCTAACGTATCAGTTTTGTGGATCCTTCGTTAACAAAGAAGAAATATCCAGTTATTGGTACAAAAACATCCGTAAAAAAACTTGGCAATCCTTGCCCAGTACCCAGTACGTCTACGTAGATACGTGAAACATAAGGAATCATGAATACGAGATCAATTCTCAATATTTACATAATTTTGTCTCAACGTGATTTATTAAAGTGATGTAAAGTACTGTTTTTATTTAATTTCAAGTCCAATACAATTTTAGGACTACTTCATCACGAATAAAATTGTAAAGACCATTGGAGAGTAAAACTCCAGGTCTGCTAAACGTAACCTACTTTTTGAAAGAAGTTTATATGTAGGTACATTTAATGCCTGTTTCTCGTTTTATAATAATGTTTTTCAAAGTAGATATAAAAGTTACCCATTAGAAGTATAAAGTACCTATAAGTGCTCAATGTCGCGCGATTGGTCTTTTAGGCTATTTTAGACTATTGTAAAAATAACCTAGAAAAAAATTCAATTTTTGATATTTTTTTGAGATGAAGAATTGGTTTGGAATGAAAAAGCTTATTTTTAATTGTGAGATAAAGTATCGAAGTTATAAGTATTCCTACGTTTCATTATACATTAAACGTTATGGTAGTCATTATTGAAATGGCTAATAGGGGGGTCAAAACAAGTCAAAAAGTTCATATGACCCATGGTCCAAAAGTTAATAGATTTTTGTCTAAATGGCTTTATAGTTTACAACTTTAAGTGCTTTATATCGACCACAATCACCACAATCTTACCAATTTTTATAATCTAATCTAAAACGTTTTTAAATTGGGTAATCAACAAATAAATGGCATTAAGTTTTTCTAAGTTAAGCCAAAATTTGTAGTCCGTTTCATTAAATTGAATATTTAAAACACACCTGACAACAACGCGTCGGTCATCATCATCCTTATCCAACCTGCAATCGATCGCAAACTGTAACAGTGGTTAGTATGTTGTTTTGTTTTTGTTCGCGTACGTTGAAAAAATTTTTAATGCGTCTGAAATAATAAATGGACAACTACGAGGAAATAGAGTAAGAAGAAACTGGGTTCGTCGTAATAAAGCTTGTGTGGAAAGTGGAGGACGACATTTTGAACACCTTTTTTAAATACAAAAATGTGCAATCGCTTCAAAATAATCTCAAAATACTCTTCGGACTCTTCTAGGGCAAGGTTTTATCTGTAGATTAGATGCTTGGCGACCTCTAAAAGTATCATGCTAAACAGAGTTTTTAAGCATTGAATGCAGGATAACCCAGATCAAATCTGCTTAAACATA